TTGTCTTTATTCATATCTCTCTCTCTCTCTCTCTCTATATATATATATATATATATATATTATACAGACTATTAATAGTATATTATATCTATTTAGTATATTTTTCATAAAAATATATGGGATGTGTGTGTGTGTATATATATATATATATATATATATATATTGACAAATCGATAATGATCATGCAATATTAAGAGGGTAGGGGTGATGAATTTCATATATAAATTAACTGTAAACCAAACCCCGACATAAACCAGAAAATGGGCTCATATCTCTGGATGAAGCAGATTCTTACATAGTTTCAAATTAAAATAAAAAAGTTCCTATTATTTAAAGCATATTCTAACCTGACCTCCTCCACCCATGTTGTGTAAAAATAATGCTGACATATGAGATTTAAAAAAAAAATAAAAAAAAATAAAAAAAAAGGAGCCAAGTAATATGGCAAAATAATAGTGGTGTCAAGGGAAAAACTGTCCTTTTAATACACCTTTTTTTTTTGTGTGGGTGCAAAGGTTAAAGATTGCCTAAAATTCTTTGGTATTTGTGATCTGGAGAGCATGATCAATAATCATATGAAAATTTTTTTAAAGTGGCATGTTTATATATAAAACTAGCAGCATGGCCCGGCATTGCCCATGCTTGATTCAAAAATCGTACGACTCATACAGCAATTGCTATCACTTGACTTAAAATATTTTTGCCCTTCCTTGCCTTTAAAGGAGTGCCCTTTGCCGTGCAGATGTTGCTACATGCCTTACTTCTGTTATAGTGGAACACACCTATTCTATAGTTAATAGACTCTCCCACCTATAATAAGTAGGAGTAGTAATAGCAGTGGGTCGGTCGGTCAGTCAATGCCGGACGACCGTTAGTCGGATACTAAAGTATCAGCGACCACAACTAGATTACTCTGCATCATACGTATTATATGAAGTTCCCAACGTTTTGAACGTCGAACATATTTTAGGACCGACTTAGTATAGTACAAATACAAGCCTCCACTGTGAAATCACTCCATAACAACTTCTTGCCTATCTCACACTGCAAATTTTTTCTAAGCTCTATACTAAACATTAAATCTGGCCAATAGAATCTTCCTGCCTATTCGTGGCAGCCAGCTATTGGCTCTCACTCTGGCCAGTACAAAATGGCCGCAAACTACTTGAAAACTGCCAGAGAAGCATTAAAAAATCGATTATTTCCCCTATCAATGGAAGTTGGGAAATTTTGGTGCAAATCTGTCAAAAATTGCGGCTGTGCATTCGTTACACACACATCCTGCCTTTTATAGATATATATATGTTTTCATTCAAATTTATAACATATACATGTTGTAAGATCACTACAAAAGTTGCAATTTTGTTTCAACACTACTGGTGTCTTGTCAAGTGATGATGTTGAATGTAAAATAAACGATTTTATGAGTTCAAAAGCCAACCAACCCCTCTCAGTAAGGGAAACTATAAGTTATAAATTTAAATAAATATTATTAGCTCTAGCCTGTGGCTAGCTGTCCACAACAGTAGGTCACTGGTGGGTCCTTGTTTTGCCCGCGAGCAGTAAGGGAAACTTTGTTATGTAATCTATGATGACTAATCAGAATACAAGTATATGGTAATTTAAAATAACATCACAACATACTCTAGTATAAGAACAATCTCTTAGTGTATTAAAGTAAAGATTAGATTAAATTAGAAATCAATGTAAAAATTAAATTTTAAGTTAACAGTTGAATTTAAATTCAAAAATTTAAAATACTAAAGTTAAGCAAGCATCAATTTTAATATTATTTTAAGCTTATTCAGAAATTATATATATATATATATATATATATATATATATATATATATATATATATATATATATATGACATGTTTCAGTATTTCAAGACTTCAGAAATGCATCACAAGTAAACTTTTTCTACTGTCATACAATTTGCCCAATACTGTACTTGATTATATATATATATATCATCAATATTAATGAAAATTGTCTAATAAACTTTTAGGTTATTTTAATTTAATCACAAGACTAAAGAATTCTGTCAATTTTCAACTAAGAAAGAAAAAAAAAGATTTTGTCTTATCTGTATTAGATCGTTTTTGTGTTACATTTTTCACAATCATAGCAATGCTAAAAAAAAAAACTTTAAATAAGGTCTAATTAAGAAAAATATTGATTGGAAGTTGATTAACCTGCAAGTCCAACAAATATCCATTTGTCAAACCATGAGGGGCAAATATGTGACAGGTACATTTTAATGAAGCCCCACTCAATTGCAAATGGGTTTGTTCTGAAAGTATCCAGTTTTATCATTGCAGGCATAAAAATATACACCTGCCCTTGCTCCATTAGTATAATGGAGAGGTACTGCCTGGGAAATGGATCCACGGTAGCTAGATATATACTTATTAGTTTCCAGTCACAACTGGTTAGAAAGTCATAATAAATGGATATCCTGGAATATCCTCTAATTATAAACAGATATACTGTAGTTAATATATCGGGTTGACCAAAAGGTTGGTTCAGTTTATTAAGCAAATTCTCTACTTAAGGAGCAAACAAACTGTTTGGCCCAACCAATATGAAAGAAAGACATTATTGAATAGTTCTTGCCTCATTTTGTAGGCAGACAATAAACAAATAAGAAAATTAAAACAACTAGAACTGTCAACAGAAATTTGGTCAGTAGACGATTAAAAATGGATTCGAAAAAAATAAAAAAATTGTTTTCTTGATTTTTGATGCACTGGAAAAAATGGTCAACAGGTTTTGATATTATTAACTGATTGCTGTTGTGGGGAGGAAATAAAAGAACATCTTGGAATTTTTAACCAAAGAAAAAAAAAAGTTGGAATGCATTTTTTAAGATGTTCTTCATATAAGAAATATCACACAAATCTTTTAAAATGAAGTTAAGAATACAAAGAATTAAAAGCAGGAATAACAGAATATAGAGGAATACAAAGTATGAAAAAAATGGAATAAAGGAATATAGAGGAATACAAAGTTTATAAAAAAAAACAGGAATAAAGAAATCTAGAGGAATACAAAGTATAAAAAGAATGGAATAAAGGAATTTAGAGTAATACAAAGTATAAAAAACAGGAATAAAATAATATAGAGGAATACAAAGTAAACAGAATGGAATAAAGGAATATAGAGGAATACAAAGTATAAAAAACAGGAATAAAGGAATATAGAGGAATACAAAGTATAAAAAGAATGGAATAAAGGAATATAGAAGAATACAAAGTATGAAAAACAGGAATAAAAGAATATAGAGGAATACAAAGTTTATAAAAAAAAAAACAGGAATAAAGAAATATAGAGGAATACAAAGTATAAAAAACAGGAATAAAGAAACCTAGAGGAATACAAAGTATAAAAAGAATGAATAAAGGAATAAGAAGAATACAAAGTATAAAAAAACAGGAATAAAAGAATATAGAGGAATACAAAGTTTATAAAAAAAAAACAGGAATAAAGAAATCTAGAGGAATACAAAGTATAAAAAGAATGGAATAAAGGAATATAGAAGAATACAAAGTAAAAAAACAGGAATAAAAGAATATAGAATTTATAAAAAAAAAGGAATAAAGAAATCTAGAGGAATAAAAAAAAAAGAATGGAATAAAGGAATATAGAAGAATAAAAAAAAATAAAAAATATAGGAATAAAAGAATATAGAGGAAAAAAAATAAATGGAAAAAAACAGGAATAAAGAAAATAGAGGAATACAAAAGTATAAAAAAAAGGAATAAAAGAATAAAGAAAAAAGAAAAAAAAAGGAATAAAAAATCTAGAGAATAAAAGAATATAAAAAAAAAAAAAAAAAAAAAATAAAAAAGAAATTTAGAGGAATACAAAGGAATAAAAAGAATGGAATAAAGGAATATAGAAGAATACAAAGTATAAAAAACAGGAATAAAAGAATATAGAAGAATACAAAGTTTATAAAAAAAAAAAACAGGAATAAAGAAATCTAGAGGAATACAAAGTATAAAAAGAATGGAATAAAGGAATATAGAAGAATACAAAGTATAAAAAACAGGAATAAAAGAATATAGAAGAATACAAAGTTTATAAAAAAAAAAAACAGAATAAAGAAATATAGAGGAATACAAAGTATAAAAAGAATGGAATAAAAAAAATAGAAGAATACAAAGTATAAAAAAACAGGAATAAAAGAATATAGAAGAATACAAAAGTTATAAAAAAAAAACAGGAATAAAGAAATCTAGAGGAATACAAAGTATAAAAGAATGGAATAAAAGAATATAGAAGAATACAAAGTATAAAAAAAATAAAAGAATATAGAAGAATAAAAGTTTAAAAAAAAAAAACAGAAATAAAGAAATCTAGAGGAATACAAAGTATAAAAAGAATGGAATAAAGGAATATAGAAGAATACAAAGTATAAAAAACAGGAATAAAAGAATATAGAAGAATACAAAGTTTATAAAAAAAAAAAAACAGGAATAAAGAAATCTAGAGGAATACAAAGTATAAAAAGAATGGAATAAAGGAATATAGAAGAATACAAAAGTATAAAAAAAGGAATAAAAAGAATATAGAAGAATACAAAGTTTATAAAAAAAAAAAAAGGAATAAAAGAAATCTAGAGGAATACAAAGTATAAAAAGAATGGAATAAAGGAATATAGAAGAATACAAAGTATAAAAAAACAGGAATAAAAGAATATAGAAGAAAAAAGTTTATAAAAAAAAAAACAGGAATAAAGAAATCTAGAGGAATAAAAGTTTAAAAAGAATGGAATAAAAAAAAGAAGAATACAAAGTATAAAAAAGGAATAAAAGAAATATAGAAGAATACAAAGTTTATAAAAAAAAAAACAGGAATAAAGAAATATAGGAATAATAAAGTATAAAAAGAATGGAATAAAGGAATAAAAGAATACAAAGTATAAAAAACAGGAATAAAAGAATATAGAAGAATACAAAGTTTATAAAAAAAAAAAACAGGAATAAAGAAATCTAGAGGAATACAAAGTATAAAAAGAATGGAATAAAGGAATATAGAAGAATACAAAGTATAAAAAACAGGAATAAAAGAATATAGAAGAATACAAAGTTTATAAAAAAAAAAAAAGAAATAAAGAAATCTAGAGGAATACAAAAGTAAAAAAGAATGGAATAAAGGAATATAAAGAATACAAAGTATAAAAAAAAACAGGAATAAAAGAATATAGAAGAATACAAAGTTTAAAAAAAAAAACAGGAATAAAGAAATAGAGAATAAAAGAATACAAAGTATAAAAAAAGAATAATGGAATAAAAAAAAAACAGAATATAGAAGAATACAAAGTATAAAAAAAAAAAAAAAAAAAGAATATAGAAAAACAGGAATACAAAATATAGAGGAATAAAAAAAAAAAACAGGAATAAAGAAATCTAGAGGAATACAAAGTATAAAAAGAATGGAATAAAGGAATATAGAAGAATACAAAGTATAAAAAACAGGAATAAAAGAATATAGAGGAATACAAAGTTTATAAAAAAAAAACAGGAATAAAGAAATCTAGAGGAATACAAAGTATAAAAAGAATGGAATAAAGGAATATAGAAGAATACAAAGTATAAAAAACAGGAATAAAAGAATATAGAGGAATACAAAGTTTATAAAAAAAAAAAAAACAGGAATAAAGATGCATATAAAATGAAATAAAAACACTGAATTGTGTTTTATGTTTTGTATCCCCTGGTTATTTGATGACAACGATCCATCTTTCTGACCCTCAAAGTTGTCCACATAGACCCCCCCCACCCCACCCCCCCGGGAGTAGGAGAATAATATTTTTTTTTTTTTTTTTTTTTAAGTCTGTAAGAAATTTCTCTTGGCGAAAATAATGATTTACTGATACAAGTTCTACTAATTAACCCATAGCTGGGGGTGGGGGAAGAGGTGGATTAATACCTTGCCCAAGGGTAATTGTGCAGAAGTAAAAATAACAAACCTGACTGGAAAGTCTTTGCTATGGTACCTAGATCCGAGTTGGCTAGATGCAACCGTAAGTTCTATGCTAACAGTTTATTTTCTCAGACTTCTCACTTGTGGAATTCTGTTTCGGCTCCATTTAAATGCAATATCAATCGCTATCTACTGATTATGCTTCTTCTCTACTCACTTCTTAGTCGTGTTGCTGTTTTAAATTTTTCCACACCCAGTAAACCCTTGTGTCTCAGTGGCTTTAATGCCTTGCTTGGGGTGAACATGATTAAAAAAAAATTGGAACTCAACTCTCCAATTCTGAACTGTTATCTATTATGTCACCATACATCCAACCTTACAGTACCTGATATTCCCAACTGATCACCCATCTCATTACTGACCAGGCTTGACTTTGCTTAACTTCATTAATCATATAAGAACTTGCATTTCAATGTAAGCCCATTACACCACCGTCACATCCAATCTTAAAACACCTGGTATTCCCAAGCAGTTACCTACCTAGGTACTGACCAAGTTCAATGTTGCTTAACTTAATACATCATACAAGAAACTGTCCACTTACAAATAGAGATATGTATGGAATTAACAATTTCAAAAAGTGGGGGATTAGAGTATAAGTAGTTGTAACATAAAAGTGATCCCCCACTTAATATCAGTTTTTTCTTTTTACCTCATATTGATGATCTATAAACAGGGTTTCCCAATTGGATTATATACAGTGAATTGGATTACATTTGACTGCCCATTGCTACTAAATTTTACTAATTCTAATTTGTAACCAAAGGTAACCCAGATTTATTTTAAAAGTAACCTAGAAATTCACAAGTAGTAAAATTTAAAATTTTGTAGCCCAATTTGACCACCCTTCTTTCAACCACTTTATGATAGACATGGAATGAGTGCATTAACACGCTATCATTAAAATATTTGTCCGACAGTAAAACTCAAGAATTCTTTATGTATTCAAAGGACTTTTAACAAAAATTAAAATATCTATTCTTTTTTGGGATTATTAGTTGAACCCAAATTGAAATGAAAGGATTTGAATGAATCTCTTTATCTTTGTTATTTTTATCACATTATAAATTAGTGTTCTTTTACCTTTTCCAACTGTTTCTACATATGCAAATCAATGGACTCCATCTTCAGCCATTTTTACATATGCAAAGGACTCATAATTTTATAAAATTTCAATCATTTTTTCATCACCATAGGGCTATTTCTTTATATCTTTTCTAGAAATACTTTCATAGTAATTGTTTGGATGAGCTTTTCCCCTTGGTACCTAGAGATTTTGAATTTAAGCACAGTACTAGACTGGTGCTGGGATCTTACCAATTTACAGTTGAGTTGGCTAGATGTAGCCCTAAGTTCTATGCTAACAGTTTTTTTTTTTTTTTTCCACTTCTTGCTTGTGGAACTCCCTTCCAGCTCCTTGTTTTTCAGCCAACTTTAATCTGTAAAAATTTAAATACAATGCGAATTGCTATTTACTGTCCTCCTGATTACTCTTTTTACTTTCCACTTGTTATTAAAGTTTCTGTTCCTAATTCTTCCATACCCTGTAACCCTTTGTGTCTTAGTGGCTTTACTGCCTTACTTCGCGTGATACTGATTAAAAAAAAAACAAAAAAAAAACTCAGTATGTTAAATCTCCAAAGCCTTTACAAATCCCTCCAGTAACCTGTAATTTTGCAAAATTTCAAATTCAGCTTAGAATAAAAAAAATAACAGACTGTAAAACCAGTTTGTTCAGAATCTGCTACCATCTTTAGATACACAAAAGAGATGTATACATTTTTAACAATAGTATACAAATGTTTAATTTGAACACAGAATCTGTAAGATTATTTCTAACAAGATTTTCTTCCTAATTAACAAAAACAGTAAGTCAGAGATTATAAGAAAAGAGAAAATAAAAGAAGTAAGATTGATGATGAATTTTGGAAAGCTTGTCACCAAATTTCACAACAATCTGTAAGAGGGACAGAACTGACTATGAAGACTTTTTCAGATATAGATACTTATATATATATATATATATATATATATATATATATATATATACCAAAATATATATAGATACTAATATATATGACCTTGCTTCTAAGCAGAGGTTCCCAACGTCTGCTTTCATATGGAAAAATTTTCCACCAACAACCTGTATAGTAAATATTCAAAAACATACCAAAATTGTTCGGTAAAAGTTTGTTACTGGTTCGTAAACTGACTTCATGATGAAGTAAAAAATACCAAAGGGAGATAAAATAATGATGATATGCAGCTGCTGCTACTAATGTATAAAAAATAAATGAAAGCAAACTTGACCATTGAAAACTATTACATTATATATATATATATAAATAAATAAATGTAAAAGACAATAGGAAAACTGTAATAGTTGCTGACACATTTCGTCATATGTGAACTTTTTCAAGGCAAAAAACGAAATGAATTTATTAAACAAACTAATTAATTATAACAAAACAAAATGTCCTTAGCAATTGGAAGAATATAGAGAACGCTAATTTCATACTGTTAACTGAAAAATCTACACACAGGCTTTTTCCCTATTTCACCATAACAGAATTACTACTCTCCCAAACAAACGTACACAACAGTATCAAGAAATCAAAAGAAAATAGTTGAATCCGTCAACACAGCAATAAAAACAATATCTCCACACGTGACAGTAATTGACGTAATTTTCAGTTAACAGTATGAAAATTGCATTCTCTCTTCCAGTTGCTAAGAACATTTTGTTTTGTTATTATTACTTACTTTGTTTAATAAATTCATTTTGTTTTTTTTGCCTTGAAAAAGTCCACATTGGACAAAATGCGTCGGCAGCCATTACAGTTTTCCTATTGTCTTTTACATTTATAAATATTACCTTTTTCTACAGATTAACTCTGAGAATTTTTTCATATTATATATATATATATATAATTATTTATTTAAAAATATGATTCCAAAAAATATGATTTAAATAAATAATTATATTTATGCTCTACTTTGTATCGAGCACTATTTTTTAAAATAATAACAAAAATACTAAAGAACTTTGGATTATTTACCTAACGAGTTCTTTCCTATTTTCTATATATTTTTTATATATATATATATATATATATATATATATATATATATATAGGTATACTATACTCGTTTCTGAAAAACCTTTGAATTTTTGATTTGCCAATAATCAAATCAATCTCAAAGGAAAAAAAAAGGTTTTAAAAAAAGAAAGAGCTAGAAACATGAAAGTCTGTCGAAAAAAATCACACAGATACAGGTTTAAAGACCAAAGAAAAAAACCTGACACGAGTAAACAACTAACTGCATATATTAATTAAGCTAAGCAGGTTAGCAAGTCGGTTTCCGGTTGTTTCCCATCAGTTGCTTTACGTAGCATTTTTCGAACTAGGTCTGCGTTTCCGTCTTTTCGCAAGGATGTATTGCCCTACATCAAATTGAGTAATTTAGTATATGAATTTAATTGCCAGTGTGCTGCTGGTTAAGTGGGGCGTACAACCTTGCATTTGGAAACTAGAATCAATCAGCACGTACCTTCCAAAATACGACTTGGTAAGATAGATAGAATATGCTATCTTCCCCCCATGAATATGGAATCGGCTATTGCTCAACATTTAGTTGAGAATATAGCCCGCGCCAAGTTATTTAAAAAAAGAGTGGTTTAAAATTATTCATACAGCCGATTCCAACAATCATTTGAAGATTTTGGAATCGGTCTGTATAGATTAAGAAACCTTCTCTGCCGGCAGAAAGAATTTGTAAAGTCTCTTAATTTGTTGGGGGATATTTTATTTTAACTGTCCCTCGCTAATTTATTTACACGATTATTTCCCCTCCCCTCGTTACAAGTATATATACTTGTTTGTTATTTTAGTGTGTTTCCCCTTTTGCTCTTCATTATCGTTAATATTCTTTTAAACTAATCCAACGATTGTCTCCTGATGAGATGTTGGCTGAAAGGGTCCTAGAGACTTTTAAAATTAAAATC